ACTTGGCGGCGCAGTTCGGCTTGGTGGGGCGACCAAGTAGTACCTAGCGAAGATTGCACGGACCAGCTTGTAGCGGCCTATAATTTTGTGATCTAGGTAGTGTTTTGCACCACTTTACTGCTTCAGAAGACTTTCTACGTGCTACTAAAGTGAGGCCTATTGACTAACATGGGCTAATTAAATCACTTGTATCACCTGTACTCCCGTGATCATCGAGTTCCTCGAGCGGACGTAACGTCTCCATTCGTCCCTGCAACGTGCAAGAGTTGCCCAATGAACTCTCTCTGCTCGAGGGACACGATGAACTTCATACCATTCGTTCAGAGCTTTCACGAAGAAGTCTGACCATCGCGTAGGCGGTCTTCCAGGCGTTCGCTTGACATCCCGTGGAATCCAGTCGGTGATTGCTCTGGTCCAGCGGTCGTCCTCGAAACGCATGACGTGTCCGGCCCACCTGATCTTCGAAACCTTGGCAAAACGGCGGCGGCGTCTCTGATCTTCGATCGTCGGCGGAGGAGCTCCGGATTCCCTCTCTCACTTGCGTGTAGCGGGAAACTCCGAGCATCGCCCTTTCGATGGCGCGTTGAATAACGCCAACCGCATGCTCATCCTGCTTTCGTAGAGTCCAAGTCTCTGAGGCGTACGTCAAGGCAGGAAGGACCGCGGAATCGAAGAGGTGGGCACGGAGCTTGGTGTTCTTCGTCTTCTTCGCTACTCCCTCGATGTTCTTGAAGGCTCCCCAAGCCGCTCGCTTCCTCCTGCTCAGCTCTGGAGCTAGGTCATTCATCATATTGATTTCACGACCTAGGTCTAGAGCATTCAGAGATGGTCGTTCCGTTGAGCGTGAATGGGGCATCAGAACCAATCCGTTTCTCATGAACATCGTCTTCGTTAGGTTCAGCCGTAGACCGATTCTTCCACACGCGCAGTCGAATTCAGCCAGCATTCGTTCCGCTTGCTCGATGTTTGGCGTTATCAAAACGATGTCGTCAGCAAAGCGGAGATGGTGTTGCCGACCGTCGATCTTCACTCCCATGTCTTCCCATTCCAGTTGACGCATGACGTTCTCGAGAGAGGCGCTGAAGAGCTTGGGCGAGATGGTGTCGCCCTGTCGGACCCCTCTCTTCACATCAATGATGATCTCCTTGTAGAATGGTGAGATCTTGGTCGTGAAGTTGCTGTAGAGCTCACGAAGAATCCTGATGTACTGAGTAGGAATACCCTGGTTGCCCAGGGCTTCGATAACCGCTTCTGTCTCAACGGAGTCGAAGGCTTTCTTCAAGTCGATGAACGTGAGACATAGCGGCATCTTGTACTCTCGCGATACTTCGATGAGCTTCGTTACCGTGTGGATGTGATCGATCGTGCTGAATCCTCTTCGGAACCCTGCTTGCTCGCATGGCTGTCCTTCGTCTAGTGTTCTGCCAATCCTGTTCAGGATGACTCGTGTGAAGAGTTTGTAGACTACAGACAGCAGGCAGATTGGGCGATAATTGCCAATGTCGTACAGGTCTCCCTTCTTGTACAGCAACACAGTCTTGCTGGTTTTTCACGAGGTGGGTATCTTGCATTCCGACAGGTAGCGCGTGAAGAGTCGAGCCAGAGGGCTAATTAAATGAACTGTAGAAAATGCAAAATGACCCTGCCAAGCTGAACAGCGCGCCACGAATCTTGAAGACCTGTCTTTCGCGGGAATTCCTTCTCTCCCTTATTGATGTGGGGAACTCTCAGCATGCAAGATGTGACCTCCTGTCCACTGAATTCGTAGACGAATTCTCAGACGCGCCATGCTCTTCGCCAGAGGTTCTCTCGATGGGTGGGTTTTCTCGATAAGTATGAGACAAGACAATCATAATTCGCCGTGCTTCTGGCCGGGCCTCCTGGTTTCTCCTGCCATGCTGCAAAAGGATTGCAGTTGCAGGCGCATATAGGAGTCTTGTTCGCTGCAAATGTTTCAGGGGCGCTTCCACCGGCTGTGATTTGCCAGTTTATTCTCCACCAATTGCGAAAGCTGGGAGATCGCAACCGGTAAAACAAGATGGCACCGCGCCAAACCCCGCTCCCTGAAACCCATCAGCGCCCGCAACTAACAAGACTGTAAGAGGTCCTTGTCCACTGTTTCATATAGAGTGCTTAACAGGAGAGAAAATAACTCAAGACAATCAGCTTCCTTTCCTTTCGGAACATCTTACTCCAGTTACCGGCAAATCGCGACTTTCTTGACCATTTCCCTCTTCCGATGGCCCACCATTCAGTGCCTACTGCAGAACTCTACCAGCACGAAATACATATGATATATATGATATCTTTCCACAAAGTAATCTACATTATAGAAGTTTGAAAGGGTCTTGGATCAAGGTCCCAGAGCAGCACAGGAGAACCTTCTCGGAATACATGCCCGGTTTGGACTGCTAGAATGGATCTTCTCCTTGAGAGAGACAAACGGTACTGTGTGGGTTGAAATCACAGAGGACCCATCTGTCATCTCCACAGTGATCCATCGAGCCAGTACTTTTTGGTAGTCAAGGGCTTACAGGCGGTGGACGACTGTCAGTTAGGTACATCCGAGTCTTGTCGCAAGACTTCGGGTGGTATCCTCCGGATCCTCCTTGACTGCTTCGAGAATGGAGTCTTCCTCTTCGTGGGGCCGTCCCAACCGAGCTTGCCTTCGAGCATCGTGCCTCTTTTGAAGCGAGCGAACCAAACTGGCCGGTCGTGATGGTAGTGGGGTCCTCCGACAATGCGCTGTTGATGTTGCGGACAGCTGTCGTGACCCCAGTGCGGAGCCACTGATACATGAAGATGACATGACATGACCTGAACATGCTCTTGTGAAACTAACATCGTAATTAGATCCAGGAAAGAGCAGGTCCTCACACACCTCTTCAAAAGCTCTTAGAATGTTCTACAAGCGTGGCATGTTAGGTCATGCTCAAGCATCGAGAATCAAAAACTGCAAGCTTCCCAAAAAACACTGACAGGACTTTCCTTCCAACCTAATATATTGGCAACTGGGAATCCATATTCTAGACCCCGAAGCACACGAATGGTAAGTCTGCAATCATACTTTGCGGCAATTCGCCAGCCCATACAGTGGCGTCGACGTGCGTCAGCGTCAGTGACTAGGAAGTATAGATATCGATCTAGCGAATGACGGCGTCCAGAGCTCACTAGCGTTCACCAGCGATCATCAGCGTCCAGGAACGGTATTGTGTATTAGTACGGTAGTCTCCCACACTCCACCAGCAGTCTGCTACCCTCGCCAATCCCCCATACTCTCTACTCGTGGTCACTGGTGGACGCCACGCCAAAGTATGAATGCAGCCTGATTGCGGAATGTGTTTCAAGAAGGGTTTAAAGGACAAGGTTGTTCTCTCGGTACGATTTAAGTGCGGATTATAGGAACAACGCAAACGCAAATTGGAGCGTAGCGAGAACGGCTTTTTCCACGAATGAATGCCATCCTGAGCGCGCTCCAAATGGTGGGAATCTGGTCTCTCAGTCAAAAATTCTACGCTTACCTTGGCCTCCTTTCAATCTATGTGAGCCCAAAGGCTTCGCTTCGGCTTCCTTAGAAGCATGCCCCGCTTCAGTTGGTGCTCAGGCGCGAACCATGGCCCTGCCCACAGACCACGGCAACGCCCAACTCATTTTTAACTTTTACCTGATGGTGGGGTTGTTCCACTAACGAACTCTCGTCGTGGTGAGAGTAAGGTGATAAGGAGAGAGAGCAAGCACCAACAAGTGAACTCGTCCGACCACGCCCTACCTTCGCCTTATGCACGTACAAGCTCGGTTAAGCAAGGTTTGTGTGACAGGTATTTCGGTTTTCAGTACTTTCTTCTCCGCTTTTGTGTTATTTACAATCTTGCAATTAGTATTCGAGTCGCACAAATCACCATTTTTGAACGCGAGGAGTGCCTTTCAAGTGGGATCTCAGCAATGCATTCATTTGGAATCTTGAATCACATCTTTTTTTTCCCACAAATACTCACAAATACAAGTATAAAACTCGAAACGACACACTACAGGACAATCGCTGAGCAGCGTTCGCGTTTGCTCGCTGTTTACAGGACGACCCCGCCTGCGCACGTTTTTGAATTTCGTTTGGAATTTGCTAAACACTTTTCGTTCGTTTCCTTCAATTTATCTATGTTTCTGTTCCTTTGGCTTTTGAGTTTGGCTCGTTTCCTCTTTAGTAAGACTCCACATGAAGCTCAACGTCGTGATAGCGCAAATTAAGATGGGAACAACCTTTCTTTCATTGGCAACGTTTCTAGACAAACTATTCTTCATGTAAAGAATTGGACGGGCTTCATTGTGTTTAATTACAAAGAAGACTTATTTAATGAAGTGTAGAAGCCCTCTGATACTTAGTTGTGTTCAATCGAAATTAATTCTGAAGTAACAGTGATGTTCTTATACTAAGGCTTCAACTGATTTAACTTCTCTGTCCTAGACCGTGAGATCGGCTTCCTATTCCTAGACCATGAGATCGGCTTCCTATCAAGTAGGCCAAATTAATCTACTAGGCTTGTGTCAAATCTCACTTTCTATTTCGTAAATATTTTGGATGTTGTTTCATACTTCACCGTACTCGTTCAGCTATAATGTAGATAAAAATATGATACGATTTGATTTGATGACACTTTCAGTCATCTTTTAGTGGAGTAAAAGATATTTAACACCCTTTTGAGAAGGTGGGTTCAAAGCGATAGGCTTCCGTTTTGCATGTGCCTTTGGACAAAAACTAAACAGTAGTTGAATCTTCCGCATACTTATGCTCATTGGTTTGTTTTACATTCTGAAAATCCCATCCTACTGGCTGTCCAATTGAGTGAATGTATATTTCTCGATTTTTCTCTTCGTGTTTTTGATTTTTATTTTCCGTCGGAATATTGCTCGTACGTGTGAGCTCTGAATTAACCGTTTCCTTTTTCAGAATTCTAGCCAGTACTTTCACATTACTCGAGAGAAGTTTCTGTGAGTAGTGATAAATAATGTTTGGAAAATCCAGCTTTGGATCAACTGGCTCCACTTTTGGAAGCACAGGAAGTAGGTGTTGCTCGTTACTGCTCCTTCATTTTTCTTTTTCCTCGATTCATTTATTTATTTAATACATTACAGGCTCACTGTTCGGTCAGAACAAGCCGACAACGAATCTGTTTGGCCAGCAAAGCACATCCACACAAGGTTCATTATTCGGTCAAAAGTCCACAACAAATCTGTTTGGACAAAGTACTCCAGCCGCAGGAACCTCTATTTTTGGTATGGGACTTCTTTCAGTAGTACGAGGAAAGCTGAGGCAGTATCGTTCGCAACAGTGATATCGTACTTTTCTCTATTTTTAGGTTCCACAAATACGGGATCGACCACCGGGACGTCCCTATTCGGTCAGTCGAAACCGTCCTTATTTGGCAGTTCTTCTACAACCGGTACAACATCGCTTTTTGGCAGTTCTGCAACTTCCACAGGAGGCGGTCTGTTCGGATGTAAGCTTGAGTTTAGTTGTTGATTACGCTCCATATCCCGAAGATGAATGGGGCTTACGCTCCATATCCCGAAGATGAATGGGGCGTGGCACATACTTTGTTTGAACCGACGGTGGCTGGAGTATTGCCGTTCTGAGGCAATAGTAATGATGTTAATGCCTCAGTACCGTCGTGAATGGGGAATATCTAGCGAACAAACGCATACTGTGCCATGTTCGAGCGAAGTACGCAGCCCTCCCCATCTCGAGTTATTAGGTGTACCTCAATTTTTTTCATTATTTTGCTGCGCAACTTTGCATCATTGAACGGAGGTGCAATAAGTAATTTTTAGCCACCGCTTCCACTGTGAATGGAACGACTATCAAATTCGAGCCACTCGTCTCCTCTGACACAATGATGAAGAACGGTTCACAGACCACAATACAAACTAAACATATGTGCATAACTGCTATGAAAGCCTATGAGGGAAAAAGTATAGAGGTAGGCTGACGTTTCCGAATCTCTTGTGGTGTTGCCGCGCGGTGCTATGTGTGCTAATAGTCGATGCGTTCAAATTTAAAACAATTTTTCCTCAATTGGACTGACTCTAAATTTATGTTAGCATATGCGTTCAGGAACTTCGAATAGAAGACTACATCGCCAATAGAAAAACACCATCAACAAGCGGTGGTTTGTTTGGTAGTTCAACTGCGGGCAATGCTGGAACAAGTATCTTTGGTAGTACTCCTGCTAAGCCGTCATTATTTGGATCGTCTACGAGTGAGTTTCACGCCTCATCTAATTCTAATTTTTTTAATCCACTGTACGCTTTGAAATATCAATGGAAGGCCGTGTCATCCACCAAGTTCCTCAAAGTTGGGCTAAGTGATGGTTGAAAGAAGAGCGCTAACGGAAGGGGGGTATGTAGCAAGACGTGATATGACACGCAGGAGGGTGTGGCGTGCGACGCGCCTACCCAGCTGTTTGATGTAAAGTGTTAAAGGAACGGAGTAGACCTTTTGCTTGGTTTCATTAGTGTTTCGCTGCTTCAATCGGCAACATAATGCACATCGAGAACTTGTCACACATCGCCGCACCATACGCAGCACGCGACGACGCGACAAGTACGATTGTCTTGTCCGTTCACAAGGCGCGGGAGAGGAACTCCACAGCGCATCTGTCTCCTCCCTGAATGAGGTTATGTTTGGAGCAGTCTATATGCCACCTATGAGCACTGACCGGGTTAAATCTAGCCTTGCTTAGGGAAGGGACAAGGTGCTGTGGAGTGGCACTCCCCACTCCCCCTCTCACCTCAAACGCGTTGGCGCCTACAAAAGTGTCTATTGTTTCACTAATAGTAGTAGTGATACTCGCTGGCTTTGAAGCAGAACTAGTTTTTTTTGAGGTTTTTATTGTTAAGCTGTCATTCGCTCTTCCAGTCGCGCTCTTCGGAACGCACTAGTCAGCCTTCCGTGACCTTCTTTTGGGATTTTTTTTTTGCGGAGGATTGTGTTTGACTAAGGATTTATCCTTTTACAGCAACTACATCACCGTTTGGCTCAACCCAGGGTACGTCGTTGTTCGGCCAAAATAATAATGCTACTCAGGTACGTTTAGTAGATGATCTGAATCATGACATTGCGTGCTATCATCAGCACAATTTTTAAGGGTTCTTCATTGTTCGGCAGCAAACCAACAGGTAGCCTTTTCGGCTCTCCAGCAACGGGAACAACTTCGACGTTTGGATCGTCTACCGGCGGTAGTTTGTTCGGAAACACGGGATCGGTGAGTACCCAAAAAGATCTGGACGGGTTGGCGGCATATTGTAGAAAATTTTGAATTCTGCAGACCTTTGGAACTCAGCAGCAAACTGGTTCGCTATTTGGTGGTTCCGCTTTTGGCAGTGCGCCCACTACGACGAGCTCGTTTACTTTCGGATCTACGACGAACACAG